AATCAGATTTAAGAATAAAGATTGAAATGCATAACAGAATCCATTGGGAAGGTGAGAGGAGAATCACAGATTTCATCGTAGCTTCTGGTTTTACACCTTTTTTTTTTCCCCTTGCAAAAAGCAGCTGCGGTCTGTGTAACCATATGCATTTGTACCTACTTTTTCATAACAGTCTTAATGCATGAATATATCAAAGCAATTATAAAACTTACTGCTGTAGGTATACATATGTATCCTTTTAGATATATCTGTTAGACAAAGAAGGGCCCCCACTGGTATGCTATCATCTAAAGTATACAAGTAGATGATTTTCATTGGTTGATCATGGTGCTGTATTTTGAGTTCTGGCCCTCAAGGCACCCTGTATCTCTGTTTTTCTTCTGTCCTTCACTGACAAGAAAGTTAACTCTGCATACCTAAAAAATAGCTTGCACAATGCAATCCTCATGCTGGATTCTCTTCTTCACAGTACTACTTTTCTGTTTCAGACCATGCTCCCGTGTGTGCTTCTACATGGCTCGGTTACTCTGCCAGCTCCATTCCAGGGTTTGCAGGGTTTACACTGGTTTATTTCTGTAAATGGGCTATAGAGAGAGCCTAAGGTAGAAAAAGCCTAAGTAAATACCAATAAAGCAGAGTAAAGCGGTGAACTTTAAGCTTTCCTAACTTTTTATCTTTGTAAGTATTGTGGCCTTTCAGTGATGTCTCAGAAGTATCAGAGACCTTCACAAAGTGTTCATAATTACCATACTGCTCTAGAGAAAGAACAAGGTTGATTATAACAGCTGGACCATGTACCCAAAACACAAAGCAGAGGGAAAGGTTTTCTGATACACAGATATGAAATTCTCATTTGTTGCATTCAGGGAGCAGTTAATCAATCACGTGCCACTCTGTAATTGTAGGTCTCATGGGTTCACAATGTCTGTGTCTTTTTCTTACAGTAACTTCCTTCCAATTTCAGAAATCAATAGAAAAACTGTTCCAGTTTGGTTTGTGGGTCACTCCAGGCTGTAGAGAAGAGCATCTCCATTCTCCTATTTCAACCTTCTTGTGAAAATGGATTAGTTCTGCTGCTAATGGTTATGCAGACATGTAACTTAGGAACAGATCTGCCATTTCTGATGAAAAAGTTCAAAACTAGGTCAAAAATAAGGGCCAGTAGTCTCATCCTGTTAGGTGCTGAATTCAGCTCCTGACAGTCTCCATCTCCTGAAATTCAGAACAAGTGAACCGAAGCAGAACAGAAACAATGTCAGTGAGGTTGGGCACCACCTACCACAGAACTAGGTTGGGGTCTTCTTGGGATACCAAGATCTTGGATATGTGCTTTAAAATCTTTAGTGCCATGCTGGTTAATGGTGACTTCCCCCCACTGGGCTTCTTCAAGTCTGGCAGGAAATCACTGAATTTCATTTAAATGCCTTTTCCCCTATATAATAGGGCTTGGGATTCAAAGGAATTCATTCAGCATGCTCTCCAAATGAAATGCCATTTAACTTCCTGTGAAAAAAACCAGTAACAGGAAGAGTTGTTTTAATTAGCACGTGAGCTGTGCAGCAGCTAATGTATTCCACCTCCTCATTGTAAAAGAAGCCGATTTCTTGGTAGTGTGAAGCTAGCAGAGAAGAGGGATTGTGTTCTGCTCTCCATATGCGCACACAGCCCTATTCACAGGCAAGGTGTGAACGGGAGGTGATTTGTAACTGCCTGCCATTTGTACAACACAAGCTTCTGTTGTTCTGCAGGCCCCAGAGAAAGCCAGCTCCCCTCTCCAAACCTCCTGCAGTGCCACGGGTAGGCAGCAGCCTTCAGAGAACCTGAGATTTGGTTAATTCATTTCTACAATAACGGGGTGCAGAAAAGAGTTGTTTAATTTACATTTTAAAAAAAGAGCTGTACGTTAGGCCGGAAAAGGGGAGCTGCGGCTTCTCCAGACATGTGGTATTACTTGACCAGAAGTCCCAAGAAGCCACATTTTAGAGAAACCTTTGAATGTATGCCTCCTTTCCCTCTGTCTTGTCAGCCTTTCCCTGGTGCCAGACCAAAGCTTCAGCTCCCAGTGCCTCCCTGGATCCCAAACTAGGTCCAGCACCACACTGCTGTGGAGACTGGAAGCGCACCCTGCTCCAGTGCTCCTCCAGGAGCACAGCCTGGCACGCCAGGGCGCCTGTGCCTTTCATTTTGGGTGACAGTGATGAAGCGATGTGGCCTGTCAAACAGGTGGTGAGGGTGAATGATTCCATGGCCTCCTCCAGCCCACAGACTGTGTCAGCACAAGCTGTAAAGAGAAGCCCGGGCTCCAGACAGCAGTTCCCTGGCAGTGAGTTTCCAGCAGTGATGCTACAGCGGCTGTGCTTCACTGAGAAATGGCCCAAGAGAAGGTTGACCCAGTTACAAAAAGCCAGGTGGGATGCACTGGGTAAGGCAACGTAAGAAGCATCTTAGGGGCTGCCAGCCACCATGTCCACCAAAACTGCCCTAGCAGTTCCAGAAGTGACAAGCTGGTTTGAAACTTCACGGTCAAAAGGCTCTTGTTAAAATAAAGAGAGAAAGAGAAGTGGAGAACAGGAGAAGGAAAGAAATACTTCTTTTAATGAAAAAAAAAAAACACAACTGTATGCCCAAAACAAAAGGCTTTGAAATGGTCTGAGAAAATAAACAATTAAGAAAAAAAAAGTGTGCAAAGCAGGCAACCCTGATGTGTGTTTTTTCCCTTGCCTGAACTTGTTCAACACAGGGGAAAAGAGAGGACAAAGAAAATATCACTAATTGCATTAGCTAGGAGCTGCTTATCTCTAATGCAGCTAAAGCAGGGAAAACTTGTCTCTGAGAGAGAACACAAATCTCTGCGATAATGAGATACAGTTCTTCATTTTAATTTTGATCTGCAAAATGCTTTATAAATGTTAACTATTAAATAGGCACAGCCTCTGAGTTGGGAGCTGACGGGGACTGCTCTGTTTTCTCATCCCTGTTTTCTTGTGGGCAGGGTAAAAGTACACTGACAATACAAGATCTCTGCCTGTGCTAGTGATAAATACAAACTGAGATTTGTTACCTCAGACTTTAATATCAACCTCATCTGTGCAGGAGGTGGTTCTGTTTCCCTTTTTTCAGCTGTTGAACACCGTTCCCTTACACATAAATTGGCACAAGATCACACGCAAGAGCTATCTCTCTCATGTCAAGAGCATCAGTGGAGTGGGGTAATGAGCTGTAGAGTGGGGTTTGTGTTCAGGGCTTTCACTGACAACACACAGGCTGCTCAGCCAAATGAAAAACTAACCTGGGTCAATCAGAGCATTAGAGGATGCAGATCTTGGACACACATAACAACAACAACATTTCAGTATTTCTGTAAGTTATTTTGCTCTCATTAAGAAATTAATTTGAAGAGCCTATCCAAAAATATATGAGTGTCTGTGTTAGAATTACAACATGGGAGTCAGCAAGGCACAGTTCTTGCTCACTTCTTTGCTTTGTGGGTTGTAATGGCATAAATCCTCAGCGGCTTGGTTTGATGTAGCCTGCAGAAGTACAGTCATTTTATCTGTTCTGCTGCACCAGCTGGGGAGCTGACTTCAAGCCTTTCAACAAATAATATTCAGACAAATGAAAGCTCAGTGTCTGATCCCCATGTTCTAGAAATAGTTCCAGACCTCTATACATGTGTATGTGTGTGTATATATACTATATATATATATATATATACTCTGCCGTAAGGTATACAAAGGTGTGAGTGATCCAGCTTAGCTAATACAAATTCCCTGTAGAGTTTGGAAGTGCTGCCTTTTTTGTTGCTTCTTTAGTGCATAACGATTCTGTCCCCTGTCAGTTGTAAAGGAAAGTTTGTTCAGAGTCCCCCCTCACAAAAATCAGTTGCCCTTACAACCACAACACTTTGGATGTCTGTTTTAAGTGCCAGGCTTCACTGGTGCAGCATGATGCTACCTGGTGGGTGCTGGGACCTGCAGGGAGACCCCATCCTCTCAGCAGGATTCTGCACAGATGTAGGGAACTGGGGGATGGACACACAAACTGCTGCAGCAGCATCCCCCAGAGAAGACACCAGTAAGTGTGTGGTGGTGTGCACGTATGGCAAGAAAGGTTATTTTATGATGGATCTTCCCCCAAAGAGATGAGGAATAAAGTGAGAAGAGGCAGGGAGAGATGTCTAAAGGTGTAGATCTGTGTAGACACGAAAATACAAATAGCAGGTGACCCAGTTCTCTCTCATTAGGCTGATTCTCAGCAGCAGCTAAGCTGAGAAAGCATTTATTCAATACTTCTGTGCAGTATAGGTCATGTGGAGAGGGGATTCAGCCAAGGCTAAGAATTTCTCTTTGCCAAGGCACTGCTGGGCCACCTGGAAGAACCTTTTATATGGTCATGTAAATGGAGTTTCTCCTCAGTGGAAGATAAGCATTATATCTTATCTGAAGTGCTTTGGAAAAGTACATTAGAAGTAGTAACTGTGCCACTCTGAGGGATAAGGAGTTTTTTATGCCAGTACAGCTCTTTCCAGTGTGTAACTATCATTTCTGCTTTATTTAGCACAGACACGTTTTTTGTTGTCACAGAGGTAGGAACTACATTTGGAGTCAGCAGGCTGCCAACCAGAAGCCCATTACAATGCCTGCGGAGCAGTTCCCCTCTCCAAGGTTGTTTTGCCCAGATGAGACCAACAAACTTCAGGGCCTCCTAGCATGGGATTTTCTGTTTGCTGTGGACAACAAAACATACCTTGCGCCAATGAAATTGTTCTATGATTTGGGTTACAAATGTGATTAGAGAGGTGCTGTTCACTTGCTCTCTGGGACTGTGTCTTCTTACTTAGCTACAGAGACTTCTGCCACTGTCTAACAAGCTCCTGAGTTTCTAGAATATAACATAATGAAACTAATTTAACATTTCCTCCCAGTTATCTTTTTCCTACTGCTTATTATCAAAACATTTGAAAGCTTTTCACTCACTCAGCTCCACGTTTATTTCTTCAGGCTGTGACTCATCACTGAACCTGACATCTCAGAAAGCCACAGATGCAGTGGACGGTATCTTTCGGTCCCTCGGGGATATTTCTCGAGCTCGAATGCACATGAAACAGTTTAATTCCATACATAATCCAGGCAGCAACACCCACCAGGCAAGTGGATCTTTCTTTTTCCTGCATATGCTATTTCTGTAGCGTGCTGTCAAAATTACAGCACTAATTTTCTTGATGTGCTAATCATATGTGTTCTGCACATGTGGAAAATACTTAAGTATAGATTCTATAATTGACTCAGTCATCAAGAACTTCCTCAAGTCCTTCATCCAAACTCAGAGAAATCCGGGTCAATGCCAGAAAATAATTGCCTGAGAAAGAAATCTGGGATTTATTCTACAGCACTGTGCTATGAAATAAGTGCCTGTGAAAGGAAGGGATAGGTCAAGATGGTTCTGGACTAAGACCTCTCATGGCATAGCAAAGTAGGATGCCCACATTTATACAGCAACTATATTCCTGTGTATTTTCTCTCCCATTCCTGTGTGAGACTCATTCCCATTTGTAAATAGGTGAAAAATGCAGCTTTTGCTTCTAAAATACGAAAAATGCACTATGGTATTGCTATAGGTCATCAGAATTAATGTAAAGTGTTTTTCTTTCTGTCTCCCCTAAAGTGTTATAACTTTTTCAGTTAAAAATAGTTTTACAATGGAAAGCACATACAGTGATAGAGAGAGAGACTATAAAACTTGACTCTTGAGCCAGAAAAAAATCCTTCCAAACTCATAAGAATGCTGTAAACCAGCAGAGGGATATAGTTCAAATTAAGCATTCCTTTGTAAGAACAAAAATCAGGAGTGTTACAAAATGTCACTGGAAAACTAAGGTGTGGAAAAACTGAAGTCCCTAAGCAGTGAGGAGCAGTCTGGTGTCTGAAATGGGGGGAATTGTTAAACATTTAATACAGCTCAGGGGTGGGAGGAGCTGTCGGATGATAAAGAAAATAACCCCTGAAAGTTTCCTGGAAGTGTAATTAGCATCGGTGTGTTCTTTGGATGTAGCCCAGGTTGTTTGCTTAGGGCTAAGTTCTAGAACACAGCAAGGGATGTATTAACACCTTGTAGCCCCCTAATCTGGCTATGCAATGGGTTTAATTGGTTGAATAGTACCAACCTTCTGCTGAGGGCAGTTATGGAGGCTTAGAGTAGCTAAAATAAGCAGGTGATGCGGTGTTTTCCATCATATATGCATCTGCCTACAAATGGGCCTCTGTTTTGACTAGCAGGTGTCAATATATGGGTTGTATGCAATCAGTTTGGATCCTCTGAAGAAGCAGTGTCCTTCCCTTGCTGTGGCCATACACTTTCCCAGTCTGGTGTGGTGCTATGTGAATGGGTTTAGACAATGGGTGCTTTTCTGCTTTCTCTGTTAGGATCTGGGAAGCCTCCATTTCTTGTTAAGACTCAAAAAAGGTGTCTACAGGTAAGGAAGTGGCAATCAGATAGCCTCTTAAAATGACTTTTTTGCAGCATTGAAGTGTATATGTCTTACATAAAATGATAAGTGTTTTTATCAGATTATCAAACCATGTAGTGACCATTGCAAGAGGAGAGTATTTTTCCTAGTATTGTAACTACTGTTCTTTTTCTTTCATATTCATGTGAAGTGTATTTCTTCCTTCCTCTTTCCCTTCCTCCATCCTTCCCTCTCCTCTTTCTCTTTCTCTCTCTTCTGTCTCCTTTTCTCCTTACAAACTTGTCTGAGTTATGTCCCATAGCCATCAAGGTTTCTAACAACTCTTAAATACAATTTCTGCCCCAACAAAATTTAAAGCTGATTAAAGTTTCATTATGAGTTAGAAACCAATGGAGCTACTGGGGGTTGTACAAAAAAAATGAAGCAAAGACTCCAGTAAAAATGCAATAGATTAAGTCATAAAAAGTTTTTAAATATTTGAAACTATTGTAGCTAAACAAGATAGGTGACCATATTACCTGCTTTCAGTATCTATGTAGCCAAACTGGATCATTTTAAAGGGCATTGAGTTTGGGTGCTGAAAATTCAGACATGCAAAACCACAACACGTTTTTAACATCTTTTGAGTACATAGCTTTGTCTGAAGTCAGATAGTATTTTCCCTTTAATTTCATAAAGTAAAGCTTCTCTATTTAGCTGTGATTTGATCTCTACTCAAAAAACTATTTCATTCCTAATGTCTTTCTGTTCCTCATCTGTGAAGATATTAAACAGATTTTCATACATAGGACTTCATGTCTGCGTGTGTATTTTCAAACAGTTGTTTATTGCGTGACTAGAATTGACACAAATCTTGGCATGCTCTCCTGAAGGATCCTGCAGCTCATGTCTGCTGTAATTTGCTTTGTTGGCTCAATTAAAAATTATGCACATGTTGTGAGAAGAGCTGGACGAGTTGTATAAATCTCTGTTGACAGGACTGTATTCAAAAACTGTAAGTTTTCTTTCTCACTGTAAAGTGTTGGGTGGAAAACATTTCTTCAATTACTCCAGAAAATTTTCAAGCCAAGTGGTTTGCTTTTTATTTTCCATTCATTTTTACATTTATCTTGCATGATGTCTCTTGTAGATAATATCTTTACAAAATTAATGAAGTCACACTCAATTGCCTTAAGACATCTAGGGGATGATGTATACCTGGGCTAGTCCCAAAGGAAAACAAATGTGCTAATCTGAAAGTTGCTAATTTTCTAAGGCTGTTGCGCTTCCTGAAACAGTTGTGGTTCCATTGCAGTTTGGGCAAAGTTGAAAGCAGCAAAACAAAACTCTAGCTGTAAACCAAGTAAGGTTGCATGTTCATTAAAAAGCATCTTTCCACAAGTCCCTAAATTTTTTTATTTTAGAAACTTTTTCAGGATGGCAAAGCAGTTTAAACATTGGTAAGGGAATGGGACAATTTCTAGGCTACTAATTCATACTCAGCCCTGAAGCGTTGTGGACCCCAAAGAGGATGCACAGGGAATTCTTTGGAAGCTGATCTTCCAAGATGCTGGCCATTTGTACCTTTGTATGTTTAGTATGCCCCTAACTTCTCTGAAGCTGAGATACATGATACTGATGGGGTTGTTTGGCCTATTTTTCTCCAGGTTTTCCAGAGGTGAAAATACTATGTAGAGTGTCCTGACAATCGAAGCTGAAGGACTAACAGGGATTTCTTAGCTCTGCTCTCCCATGAGGGACAAACAGGCAGTTTGGCCCCTTCTGAGGCCCCACTGATATGCCTGTGGACAGGCATGAGTAGTTAATAATCAACCCCTCCTAAAAATCTCTGTTTAGGTGATTGTAAAATCATTACAAGGTTAATAAGATATGGGTGCATGATGGGCAACGGTGTCATCCCTATTATTAGCCCTTTCTCCAAAAAGATTCCAGAGAAACTAGAAGCCCCTTTTATCCTTGCCTGCCTTTACTGATACAATACACATGGTAAAGAGTAAATGCGTGGCTATATTCTAGTCTTTTCAGTTTGATGCTAAGCTGGTGCACACCATTTGTGGTCAAGGTCACAAAGACCACTGCTGCATTGGTAATATTTTAACTGTCTGAATGGTTTCCTTTCCAGGATGATTATTTTTATTACCTTTCAGGAAATAAAATGTTCAGAAGAGCAGTTGCACCAAGTCTGAACAGCTTCACTCACAGTGCGTTGTTCTTTTTGTGCAGGCTTCTTACAAACCACTGCTGAAACAGGTAGTGGAAGAGATCTGTAATCCTGATCGACCTGATCCTGTTGATATTGAGCATATGTCATCAGGCCTCACAGACCTCCTTAAAACTGGATTTAGCATGTTCATGAAGGTAAGCCAGGCTTCCCAAGCTCATCTGTAAGACTTTCCTGAGGTCATGGCATCATATGGCAGTAGTTGGTTTTATGTACTTGAGCTGATACTGTTCAGCGGAACTTAAGGGGTGGTTAGGAGAGTTAAATCCTTGCAAGGGGGCAGGGAATAAAGGCAATGTGGCTTTGCTGTGGAGTTCTACCTCACGGAGCTCTTCAGAGATGCCTCACAAGCTAATGAATAAGCGAATGGCAGTTCATATAACCAACCTGGATTTCCAAAAAGCTTTCCACAAGACACTTCATCAAAGCATTTTAAGGGCACCAAGCAGCCTTGAGAGAGAAGTATGAACCTTCAGGTCTCACAGGGAAGGAAAGTCATCAGGGAAAATCCATATTCAGTGTCTTTTCTATAACTTCATCTTGTTCGACTTGCACTGTGGAGGAGGGAAGCCTATTAGTCAGAAATTGCTTTCTCTATGCTCTTAGCAGGTTTTAAGACAGTCTTCCTGCACGAGCTTACTCTGCTTTGCAAATTAGCCTATGCTAAGTGTTCACTAAATGTCTACAGAGATGAACTGAGGAGTAGCTAGCATGCTGTGCATTCAGCTCTGCCTTACTGCATATCCTGAGTTCTTCATTGAAAACAAACCTGAATTTACATCAAACCACATCAATACCATGATTATGAATACAGTAAGCTTCTGTAGTCTGCCAGGTGTTCTTCCAGTTTTGCTTTCTACTCCTCAGCACAGAAGAGGCATCAGAAAACTGTTGAGAGTGGACAGAAGTTGCAGTGAGGGAACTTCCAACTGGATATAAGGAAAAAATGTCCACCCTAAGAGTGGTTAACTCCAGAGAGGCTGTGGATTCTCCACCTCTGAAGTAACAGAAGGTTGACCAAACAAAGCTCTGAGCAACCTCATATAATTTTGAAGTTGGCCCTGCTTTGGACAGGGAGGTGGAGTGGAAGAGCTACAAACATTCCTTCCAACCTGAATTGTTCTGTGACTTTATGGTCATAGAAAGGAAAAAAAGTTCTGTTTTGTGCAAATACCTGCTAGGCCTGCCATGCATTTAAAGGCAGGAGACAAAAATAGTTTTGACTGTGATACTGGTACTATTCTAGAACATACTATCAGAATAACAAAGTTATTTTTCTGCTCTTTCAGAGGAAGTTCATCTCGAGCACAAAATCAGATACGATTAAAATCCAGTGCTTGTTTTCAGGAAACTCTGCCCACAGTTGAAATGAACTTCTAAAATGTATTCAGTTAGGTTCCTAAATGGAAATTTTCAGCTCTTCATAGCTTATGATAAAGCCCTGCGACAGAGGAGGATAGCTATAGAAATAGTGACCCAATGTTCTTTCCATTCATTTATCAGTACTGAAAAAATTCATGCTAACACTCCAAAAATAGTAGAAGAAAACACAAATGTTCAACCATCAAACAAAGTAAACAAGCTGGTGCACACAATCACTTTTTAAATGCTTGGTTTTGTTTACCAGTAAGTCTCACAGTTGTATTTATTTCATTGCCTGTGGTTATTGCCATTTTTTTATCAGGATCATAGCTTGTCTTTTTTAAAAAAAAACAACAAAATCAAACCAAACAAACCAAAACAAACCAAAACAAAAACATAAGGAACAGAAATACCCCATAAGGTCTAAATAGCTAGATGGAGACATTGACATCTTTGGCTAGTCTGAGGTCTGTTCTGTCCTTATTAATAATTTGTGTGCAAGTATCGCGTAAGTGTATTATGGCAATATGTACCTATAAGTACCTGCATCTCTGCTAGTAAGACAAATACACTGCTACATGGAATATGTAACAGATGAACAAGTGAATCTTGTGTAGAATGCATAGTCACATACCTGATAAATAATGTGTCCATGCTTGCTCATTTGATTTGTAGCTGGCTTGCTGGCAAGCAAACAGTTATTACTTGGACGAGTTTCTGACCAACTTGTATTTCTTACACAAGAAGATCTTCTTCACTTACTGCACCATCAGCACAGTAATTATTTCATGAGCTTCCTTATTTTTTTATTTCTTCCTCAATGCCTGAATATAAATGCCAACTCACATAAACATGCTTTGGTAAGCGATAGGCTCAGATATGTTCATCCAGGACAGACTTTTAAAGGTATCTCACATCCAGAAGTTGTTTCTCTTGCAGATGTGTTTGTTTTGAAGGTAAGGGCAGGTGAGGGGAAAAGGTCTTCCTGCCTCAAGGATTCCTCTTGACTGCTGCTCTAGACCACATGTGGTTTATAATGATCTGACCTTACTATCATTGATACCAAGTTCCTTGCACGGCAGTCTGGGTTCCAGTGATCAAATGTGTTTTCCTTTTTCCAGCTACTCAGCGAAATTACTTGGTTTCTAGTTGGCAAGAATACCAGATGCATTGGTGCTGGTGTCCTGGTTGGCAGAGTTAGACCTCATGGGACAGTAAAGGTTGTTTCTGCTGGCTTTCCTCACAGGAAGGCTGTTTCGTGAGCCATGAGAGCAAACCTGTCCTCCAGCCCCTTCCTGCTTCAGTTTTAGAGTTTTATTGCCCACTGTTATCCCACTTTCCCATCTTCTCCTCTCCATCTCCTCCATACAGACACACCAGCAAAGAGCCCTCTAACCACCATCATCCTGAGGAAATGGAGTATGGTGGGCTCGGAGCTGGAGAGAATGGCCTGATGTCCAGCTGGGACACTCAGGGAATCATGCCTCCTTCTTCCTTTGGACTCCCTCACTTTGATGTAATGGCTTTGCTTTATTCTTGGTTAGTCTTTCTAATTGCCTGAGATAATGGTTCCGATTAATTTTAATACATGGCATTTTGAACTGAAAATGAATTTTACTTGGGAATTTTTGCAAACTTCAGATTTCACAGTAAATGGGATTCAGAGGCCTTGGAAATGTCCCAGAACAGCCAAATTTTAGAAGGGTCCCAGAACACATTGCTTTTGTTGCAGTCCATTTCAGTTCTTCTTCTGTATTACAGAAATGAGTTGTGTTTAGCTACATGCAGCCAGTTCCTTCAAAAGACAGAGCCTTGGGTGGTTGTATTATCAAACAAAAAAATCTTGGCAGAAACTTACATTCTTAACACAGCCAAATATTTTGTACCCAGAGTATTGTCCTCCTTCAAAACACTTGTGCATAGCATAACAAAATTACAGATTCCAGGACCCCTTTCATTGCAATCCTAATTTAATTTAGAGTTTGCATGCCTAATAGTATTTTTAATATGCATTTCTGGAATTTGTGGTTTGAACTTTAGTCTTCTGAAAATAATAAGTTTTATATAGGCACCATGTGTTTGGATCTAGGTTTATTTTGACTGAAGGAAATGATTTGTCAAGACATTTTCTCTTTAGTACTGCCATAAGAGCTTGTGCTTTCTGATTAATATCCTTATACTGGGTGTCCTTTCAGTGTGTCCAGTGTTATGCACGCATGCTTGTCACTTTCTTGTCACTAAAAATGACATTAAGAAATAGAAGGTTTATCCAGTATTAGGTCTCTGAAGTTCAAGCTCTTTGCATAAGTCTTGGGTCATTCAGAAGCTTCATGAAATGGAATGGAACTGTTTGCTCTGACAATACAGTTAGAAAGAGCAAAGAGCCAAGGAAAGGAATAAAACACTAATTCGTGTATTACCTCAAAGTACCATAGCAGAGTGTTTTATCAATTTTTATCTCCATCATCTTTGTGAGCAGTTATTTCTTTAACCTTGTGTCACTGCTTACAGCAATTACAGCATGAAATACTGTGATATTTAACAAGTAATAGTTCTATTTGGACTGCTTTGTAAGTTAATATTTAGATCTTACTTAAACTTCTCATTGTGTTTGTAATAAGAATGAACTTTTTTCCATTTGTGGTTGACACTGTGTTATATGCAGCTACTAAAAAGCAAGAAGTCTGATGTGAAAAAGTGCATAAAGTCTTTGTATGCTCTCCTGTATCCATTTAATTGGTCTGTTGGTGCAAATGGAAAATTGCTAAATATCACACCAGAACTGCAGGACACCCTGATGAATTGCAGTATATATGCTATCTGTACCGTCAGCTCAATGAAGATGGCTGGCAAAGTGGGGAAGATTGAGAGAATAGAAACCCAATACACAAATTCTCAGCTCACTGATTCATCTGTCTAAGGCTTTTTGTACTGCTTTTAGACTCCCAGGGCATTTAAGAGCTCCTTGTCTGGGAAGCAGCACTGAGCAGGGAGCACTCTGTAAACAATGTCCAGCTAGCCTGGAGAGAGAGCATGCATCTCCCCATGCTTGCTTCAAAGGGAAGAGTCTCTTCTGAAGGTTGCCAGTCAGAAAGCCTGACGGAGCTCCAGGATGAAAAGCTGCCCAAAGACTAAATATAGGGCAGGCACAGTAAGGAAGAGAAGAAGATCTGTACCCTTAGGAACTGGAGCCACAGGGATCAAAGGTAGCTGCCGTGGTGGTGAAAGCAAAGGAGCTGTGCTCTGCCCAAACACAGGTTAATGACCACTTTCAAGTTGTTGAGTGAATGCTGTTGAAAACCTGCACTTGTGGGAGGAGAGGGGGCAGAGAGTCTAAAAAAGAGCAAATTAAACTCTTCTCATTGTCACTTTTCGAAGCCAAACATTTGGAGTGTTTTATACCCTAAGGTGATGTGACTTGCAATTGCAATGGGCTCCACTGACATCACTCCTAAAGACTGGAGCAAAGGCATTGGCAAGGGGCTGTTTTATCAAGAAAGAGTTTGCTATGAAACAACAAAGTAATCAGACTTCTAAAAGTGAGAAAAATTGATGTAAAGAATTACCTTCACATTTAATATTAAAATGTGGTGTTACAGAGTTTTAACTGAAGTGGAATGCTTGTGCCATTTTAATGATAATTGGGGGAAAATGAAACAAGTATTTTGTTTGAGCTGAAGTTTCTCTATATTAGTTGTAACCTGGTCATAGATGTGTTGAAAACTGTAAAGTGAAACAAGCTAGAAACTGAATTTACACTATAACAGACCCAATTTATTTTCATTGGATGAATGGTAAAGGATTATTCACTGGACTTGTGAAAACACATTACTTGCAATTCTTTCCACTGCTGACCACAGGCAGGGATTCTAGCATGTTTAGGCTGGACTTTTTGCTTCTGCTAGGTAGTAATTTACCTCTCATTCCTTAAAGCTTCATGCATATGTGTGCATCCAGCCAAGTAATCTCCTCCCACTTTGGGAGAGGGGAGGAAACAATGAAGGAATACAGGAGAAACCCCTCAGACCTCATGAGAAACTTCCCTAGGTTTTATTGGAAGCCATGAGGATTCCATTTCCCTGAAAACAGTTTGTTACTTGTAATAGGGCATCAACCCCACTGATTTCCCTCTCAGCTGCTACAGAGACCAGCATTCCATGAATATTTCTGAGCTTCCTCATTAGTCTTCCTCCGGCAGCTTAGGGAGCGGATCACTGCTAGTCCATGGGGTTGAAGTAGGACAGAGCAACTACAAATAATGCTTTCCTTCATTTTACAGGTGAATCGCCCTCACCCTGGTGATCATCCTCTTCTGATCATCTTTATGGTTGGTGGAGTCACAGTCTCCGAGGTCAAGATGGTGAAGGATCTAGTAGCAACACGCAAACCTGGCACCCAGGTAAAAAGAGCTCTAAATATACATGTTCCTGTGTGAACAAAGACTAAGAAAATTTGTCAGATAATGTTCCCTATAGCAGTGGTACCAAACCTACACAAAGCCACAGCCACATGGGCAGGAATGGTGTTAGGATTTTGTTGGTGAAACATCTGTAGGCAAGAAGTGTTCAGGCACCAGAGACCTTTTTTTTACATGTTAGAGCAAGCAATGAAATTTCAGACTCAGGTTGGGTAGTCTATAATAGATAGCATTATTCTGAAGGGGCTTTCATCATAGAATCATAGAATAGTTAGGGCTGGAAAGGACCTTAAGATCATCAAGTTCCAACCCCCCTCCCATGGGCAGGGACACCTCGCTCTAAACCATATCACCAAAGGCCTCGTCCAACCTGGCCTTGAACACTGCCAGGGATGAAGCATTCACAACCTCCTTGGGCAACCTATTCCAGTGCCTCACCACCCTCACAGGAAAGAATTTCCTCCTTATATCCAATCTAAACTTCCCTGTTTTAAGTTTTAACCCATTACCCCTTCTCCTGTCACTACAGTCCCTAATGAAGAGTCCATCCCCAGCATCCCTATATGCCCCCTTCAGATACTGGAAGGCTGCTCAAAAGATTTGTTTCTTCATATTCTTTATAAAGCAAAATATTGGATGTCCAAAAGGCTACAAGCTCTCTAGCAGTACATCTACAGGACAGAGTGTAGGGATGCTGAGAAGGAGCTGCCAAGGATCTAGGTACCATCTGGTGGCACCCAGTGGTGATTATCCAGGCAAATCAGTCAGCACTGCTGAGGAGCAAAATAAATTAGCCTGAATACAGCTGCACTGTTTCTGGACCAGACCATCTATCTCTGATAGATACCTGACCACTAGAGCCCTTAAGCAGCCTGAAGTAGGTGATGTGGAGAGAGCCCCAAGTCTCTGCAGCCTTTGGATGTGCTATTGGCCTTCTGGAAGGGAAGCTTTAGTAGCATCTGTCCATCCGCTCTCCAGCAGCAGAAGTTGACTACAGCAGCTGTCATCTGAGTGGAGTGGAGAGGGAGAGGAGAAAGATGGATGAGCCCTGGTGGCACCTGAGATGGTAAATATCATTTAATTGCAGAGGAACAATCAGGTATCTGCTGAGTAGTGCAGATACACAGGGTAATCTAAAAACTGTAGAGAAGTAGAGAAGTGCTGTGCAACCAGCTGCATCATACACAGAACTCTGGTTTCCCAGGTGGCTTGTAAACATCTTGTTTTCAGTCCCTACGGAATGCAGTTTTGGTTAGTGAGGAATCATTAACAAAATTGAGCCAACCAAAGCCAGAGCAGCCCCTTGGTTTGACATGTGTGTTCCATGTTTTAATTGTCTTTGTAAGGCATTCTCAAGCAGTATTTTATAAAGCAGAGTGCCATTTTTTAGTGTTTCTTTCCCATTAGCCTATGGCTAATCCCCCCAAAACAGCAAATGAAATTCTTTCCCCTCGTGGAGGTGAATTGAGTTGTGTCACACTGATGAACAAGTTAATCCACACCCAGAATGTGTTAATACACCCTGAAAGATAAGCAGAGGGTTAACATGTGAGTTGGTTGCGAACTATGCAGAGAGGCTTTCAGCTGGCTTTCTACAGGGACTTGAGGCTTGACAGCGGTGACATGGGATCTGGTGTTGCTTTGTTTTGGCTTAACCCTGGCAGCAGGTCACCCTCTGAGGCAGATTCCTAAAGAATTTTAAGCTTTTACTGCATTTTGCCCTTTGTGCAAATGTGCTGTGTTAGAGGTGAAAGGACTTTGGGGGAGAGGCGGGAGGAAGAAGAGAAAGAAGAAAAGCAGCAGTTGTGCAAGTCTTTCATATAGGAAAGAGGTTATGAGTTTGTTGGATTTACCTGGATTTCTGCACTCTAGCTGTGAATGTGTGCCACCTGTTTGGGATTATTCTCTTTTCAAAAGCCAGACATTTGCCTAATTCGAGCCAGTGTTTAACAGAGCTTTTTAGTGGTGTTCAGGCAATCAGGTTCAGGCTCAGGGGAGCACTGGCCTCCCAAGTCCCCTCCAGTCAAACAAAGCCCTGACATTTATACTAATTATTGGCCCTTGGAGAAATGGAGAGACGTGTGGGTGCAAAAGTAAAGAATTGAGGAGAGCACCAGAAAAACTGACAGGGCACACTGATTACTACAGCAGTTGTTTGGAGTTGAAGCAAATGACATTTAAATGTGGAGTGGGAGACACGTTTCCATCCACAGAACTGCTCTGCATCTCAATATGAATTTCAGTTTTTATTTCTCATGGAGCAGCACAAAGGAATACAATATTTCTTATGTTTATCCTACTTTCAAATAAAGCAATTACCTTTTTTTTCCACTTTAATGAGGAAAGTAAAATACAGGAAAGGGCATGAGTGCATGTTTCACACTCCCTCCTCCCAGCATACACAACCATCTATGTGGTTGTGGCTGAGGTAGGCAGGCAAGAGAAACCGCTCCAGATGTAACATCAGATGTTAGCTGCATCCTTCCCTGCTGAGGGGGAGCTGCCCATGGCAGCACAGTGGGTTAGGATGGGAGCTCCTGGCTCCTCCACTTCAGCTGCCCTGAAGGGGTAGCCCTTCAGGTGAAGCATCAAAGACAAGCATGCTGTGCTGAACAAGAAGGTCTGCAAAGGAGGTACGCTGTCCTGAAAAGACGAGCCTGAAGAAGAGATGGGCATTACTTACCTGTGCAATTCCCCCCTTCTCTGTAAAAATGAAGGAACAAATTTATCCCTCTCAATAAGCCCATATGTACTGGTCTGTACAGAAATACTGGGGGAAAGAGACGAAGTCCCACTGTATTTATCTGCATCCTTTCTCAAGCATTAAAGTTGCAGATCTCATTTTTCTGTGTGGACTTGTTATTAGTTGCACAAATCCCCTCAGGGTTCAGTGGTGGGACTCCAAAAAGAAATTGCTTTTATCTGGCAGTGGCTATTGTTGATGTTTGGCTCGTACGCCCAGAAAACTTTGGTAACATGTCCCCTCGTGTTTTTCAGACTTAAGCTGCGTGATAACAAGATGAGCACATACTGTGCTTAGTCTGATTCTCATGTAACATAAGTAAGACAATGTCAGCCTTTGGCATCTGCAAATTATAGAGAGTTTTTTAGCCTTAGGAAGAAGAAGAGATAATCAGTGTCAGTTTGCCACAGATTGTGTGGGAGGACAAGGGAAGAAGTGGGGGGAAGACTATCAGCAGTACAGAAGGGATCCTTTCATTATTTGAAGTGAAAAGATGAAAGAAAGACCAACAAAAAAAGTTGAAATGCAGCACTATCACACATTGAAGCCGCATGATGAAGAGCACAACTAGTTTGATAGCTGCTGCAGGAAATGTATAGACAGGCATACTCAGTTATTGATGCTTGTGCTTCCTCTTCTCAGGTGTCCACTGAAGAAGCAAATTCATTTGCAAGCGGGTTTGTAAAATAAATCTTCCCCCTACATCCCTGCCTTCAGTCCTCACCCTATAGACACTGCTGAACTTGGGGCTTTGCAAGAGCAGTGTCCTACAACTTCAGCCCTGGCTTAGCTGCACTCAGCAAGAGCATACTCACTCTCTCCTGGCTTTGCAGTGCAGATAAGCCTTCACCCTAGACACCTGCATACTGGTTCACATACTGAATTAAAACAGGTACCTGAATGTAGCAGGGTGCATATCATGGTTGTAGTGAGCAACTGTTCCATTCATCAGACCCATCTTGGATTAAAAATTTGAACGAACAATAGCAATAGCATCCCCACCGTGCTCGAGGTTGAGCACTGATTCTATTGTGCGGAACAGCCTGTGCCTGGTCCTAAGTGATTTTTGAACAGGGACTGTGGCTCCCCTCAGCAGGCTGGCAGCACGCCTGTGGTGCTCACCTTACCTTCAATTGGAAGGAAACAGCTTTCACTCAAATCTCTGCTATAGGAGGGGAAACCCCTGCTTCATCAGCTGGTGCCTCAGTAAACACAATGGCAGTCACAACAAATCCCCGGGTAAGATGTTTGTAGAAATGTGTCAGAGCACACATTCATTAAGAGTACAATGCTACCAGTCATTATGCTCCTTAAAGTGATTTAACTACAGTTATTAGCGAGCAGACAGTTTCACTGAGCAAGCTGTATTGCCCTGTCAGTAAACACTAGAAACACACAGCATGCCTAGTGCTGGGTGAAGCAAAGGCCTCATATCCACAGCTCATTAGAACTGCGATCAGTCTTGGTCCCCTTCGTTTTGACTTGTTTCTTGTTCCCCCTTTCAGGTAATGGTGCTCTCCTCTGCTCTCCTGACACCACGTAGTACTATTGAGTTGTTATTTGCCACAGACCGTCTCCAGCTTCATAGTGATATTTGATGGAGGAAGATCTATGGAGATGAGTGAATGCCTCAGCTGGAAGCATCAAATCCCAGGTCTGTCACTGTTCCCGATAGCACTGCAAAATATGGCATGTGCCCTGCTGTAGTGAAACAGCTGGGTGTCTGGCTGCAAGGGAACATGCACAGCTCACAGGAGCTCTTCGAAACGATCCACAACTCCCCCCTCCTTAACAATAGCACCATGCAGTGCTGAATCACCCCAGCCCCTCTTGGCATGGCAAAGATGATCACTTGTCATAATTCCCTAGAAAATGAGAGGCTGAGGACCAGGTGATGATGAATTTGCACTCCCCAAGCAGTACTTTTTTTTAATCTGGAGTATTCCTGATGATTTCACTGGCGTTGCTTCTGAAGGGACTGAAATGCTTTCTGAGGGAGTGAAAGGCCAGCAAAATACACCCTCTCTGTCATGCTACCATGCAAAACCCATGTGCTTTACACAGGTTTAACAGCCTCTGCTCTTACTTTGTCCTGCACCCTGGAGAGGCGATGGAGCACAGCCCTGATTTAGCTGGCAGAGCAGCTCCCAGTCCAGTGGTGCTCTCCTGACAGGACCAGTCGAGGCAGAGGAGAGAGCTGTACTCAAGGGCTGTGTTGAGTGGCTGCTTCTCTCTCAGGTTCCTGTTTCCTGCTCTAGTTTCTCAACCCACAGCGGCAGGAGAAAAGGCTGTTTCTGATGGCACACTTCTCTGTAGGTTTATACAGGAAGACATATGGGCTGTGGTGGTTTGATGATAACCCCCCTCCCCTCATATGCATTTAGAAAAGAAAAAGAGAGAAAAAAGAAGCACAGTCCCATTTCCAAGAGGCCACAGCACAGATTCTGTCTTGAGCTAGATTTCTGAGCAGCAAGATTAGAAAACAGCTTTTATTTTTAATTTATGACCACAAAAGAGCTGCTATCAAATTTGGTTATGTAATTTCTCTTTATAAAACTTTGCTGCAATCTGTGATAAAAAAGCAGCAGCCAGTAGATTGTAATTGCCCATAGCACCAAGCCTTCCAAATTCCAGTGTAAAATGGTGGAGCTCTAAAACTGCATCCTCTTGCTTCATTCAAAGGATGCTAAGACTGCAGCTTACACTGAGATGAGAATGTGAAATTGTGACATTCAGTCTATCAGAGCATTCTTTATTATGCCAAAGGAGTAGATTAAATGGGAAGTAGCTTTTTAACCTTTGTTCATTGGTTAGGGTAAGTTCTCTTAAATGTTTATAATGGTCTTCAGAAAAGGGCGCCTTTTGATTTAAATTCACTTTTGGGTGGCTGAGTGGAAACAATGGACCAATTATAAAGCATGGACAATGTCGCCTCTATGGAAAAGAAATTTATAAGAATGACTATAGAATGGAACTTTGTGCTATAAAAAATGAGAATTATTATGAGATTGCAATGTTAAAAGCTCAAGAAATAGTTTGAACAGAGCAACTGAAAGCAAATAACCAGTCTCTTTTTCTGTCTTCTGTACTGTTTAATCTTAGAATATAGATGTTTTGTAAATTCTGCAATCAATAAAGCAGTGCTCTTACAATGCCAAACCTCATCCTTCTTCTTCTCTCCCAGTACGCAGTTACACACGCGAGGACTGCATGTTCCTGCAACCCCTTTTTCTTTTGCTTTGTTTGCCCCAGAGAACCAAGACCTTTGCTTTGGGCTGGCAGCAGAAAGGCTCCCTTTCATCTAGTGGCCATTGCTGATCAGTGAGTTCAGCTACTCACACCTGAGATGCTGCTGCTGTTTTCTGGTGATAATGGAAGCTGGCATTGGTGGTCTTCTCTTCCTCACGTGTCTTTCATCAGATGCTCTTGAGGTTTCTGACTTGGCCATCTAAGGGCATGCTGTATGGGACAGCGAGAAGAGGGGGGGAGTGTAACTGTAAGCAGACACTGGTGCTCTTGTAGTTCCTCTGACTGAGACAGAAACGAGTGTTCCAGCCCCCCCACACACACTTTGCAGGAATCTTTTCAGCCAGTGGGGCCACAGCTGAAATGGCAGTGGATTCTGGGGACTTGGCCATCCTCTTGTAGGCAAGCAGCTGAAGAAAGAAGATGGTCACAAAAGCCTGGAGCTGAGCCTTGCCAGTGGCCCTAGTGTAATAGCTGCTTATTTGTAAGAAATAGGTGTAGCAGCTACACATATCCTGTGCTCCAGGAAAAGGCCAGGGGAGGTGTGCTGATCAGATGAGTAGGAACAGCACAGAAGCCACTTTGCTTGGGCAGGTTCAGGACCACAGCAAGGAGTGCCAAAGTCCTCTGCATGTGGCACTAAGTGATACTCAAAAGATAGGAAGAGGAGAAAACACAAAGCCACCTTTGGCAAGCGGCTTTACTACTGTATTAATAAGCTATGCAGTATTTGGTGATTTAATAAGCCCAGATGGGAAAAGCAAACAGCTTTATTTGCAAGTGTGATCCTAAACCACTTGGCTAAGGAACTCATGCTCAGAAAGTTTATCAATAGCAGCACCTTGTCAAGGTTTCCCTGCACCAGGTGTTACAGCTGTGTGCTAACCAGGTGAGCCCATGTGCAGCAGCCACCCTAGTCCCAGCACACACATCTTCCTCAGGGTCTTAGTAATAAAATAATTGAAGACTTGAACTCTGATTAAGTTCCTCATTGTCATATAGCTCAATACATAAAGTTGGGGCTTTTTTGGTTTTTTTTGTTTTGAGAAAGTAGCACTCACTTGAAAGATTTAGTGTTTAGATTTTGACCTACCTCACACCATTCCTTTCTCACTGGAGTGGGTTTGTTTGACAAGGGGAAATGAAGAATCCCATTTTAGTTTGAAATCTCCGCCTCATTCAGTTCCTGTCCTACAAGGATTTCTTAAAAGGAAGTTATAAAGCTGTTGTGAAAGCTCCCCCCCCTGTGGTTTATGCTAATGTACGTTAACTACCTTGAGAAAGCTCTAGCTTTGTCTCAACTTTTCTCTTTCTTTGTCTCAACCCCCTATTGCCCATTGCTTCTCAGACACACACAGAACACACAAGAAAAGATGCAATTCAAAAGTTTAATATTGAACCAGGCAGTAAGAATGAAAAGTTCACTCCCTAGGAGGAGTAACTGTACACAAAATAAATAAGTTACAGTTTAAACAAAAGCACAACCGGCTTTTTAAAGTGCATGTGTATAAGGCCCTCAGGCTGTGAACTCCATTGGCTCAATGTAAAAAAAGGAAAAAAGTGTGTGTATATATATATATATATATATAAATCTGCCACATGTTTAAGGATGAAGACAGACTGGCTCAGCTCAGAACATGCCACCAGCTTCATGGCCTGGAGCCAGCTGTGCTTCACACTGCACTGAATCATAGCCACATTCCTTCTGTGCCTATTGCACACGGGAAAGAGAAGAGAGGTGTCTTACACTGACTCCACCTCCACACTCATTCCTCAAAAGCTCCAAGTTGAATCATTTTAGTCTGTAAAATCCACAAGTTATTTGTAAGTAGATATGTTTACACCCTCTGGACAATAGTTTTGCATACAAAGAAATCTCATCAAGTTGTCAGCAATACCATAGCTAGTAAAAAAATAAAGGACCATTGTTTACAGTCTTGATACCCAGTCCTATCCACTTATTTTACACTTATTTTTACAGAGCAATTTCATGTTTGCTTATTTGCTTTGAGATAAACAGTTCTGCTGTGCAATGAAATTAAACAGATACATCATGCTGTCCTTCATCCGTGGAAAAACAAGACTCAAGTGGTTATTTCTTAACAGTGAACTGCAGTTCAGGGTGTTTCCCTGCTCAAGTACAGGTTGAGTTACAGCTAAAAGGTTGTTTCTGCACAAATGAAAGCCAAAGCTGCAAGACTGAATAAAAGCAAACTGAAAGCTTGTTTCATTTACTGACAAGTTCCTTTTCCATTTGAAAATACTCATTCTCCAAGTCACATCCTAGAACTATCTCAAGAGTTTTTAGTTTTTTTCTTTTCCTTTTCCAATCTGTGACTACTTTTTTAAGCAAATGCTTAAAAACTCCTATAGCCATGCAAAAGACTACCTGAACCATCCTTCTTTCACAATGCCTTGACTCTAGACGTGCCAGTGTTAAACACCCCAGGTTTCAGTCTCAGGCTAAGCGTTGGGAAGACCAGAGTCTCTGCTGTCAAACAGAAGTGACAGTCCTCACTTTGGCAGACAAAGCTTGCTTAAACCTTCTTTTCAGATCCTGCATGTTGGGTGATTTTGGCCGTGGAATAAGAGAGGTTCTCCTTCTCTCAGGGGTGCTGGTTGTTTGCTGCCTATTGACTTCTTTACAGAGGAGATGGAAGGCATTGAAGACATTGTTATAGTTTTCACTGACAGATACTTCATAGAAAGTACAGCCCAGCATGTTGGCCAGCTGAAGTCCCTGCTGAGGCTCCACCTCTTTGATGTGCAAGAGATCAGCTTTGTTTGCGACAACGACAACAGGGACTGTGTTTCCTGGATGCAACTGTCGAATATGATGGTAAAGGTGACTGAGCAGTTCATAGCTTTTACAGTCTGTGATGGAGAAGACTATCACCAGGGCATCTGCCCAGCGAATGCATCTGTTCAGCTGCTCATTACAATCCAGACTGTGTTCATGGATCTGAAAAATGAATGGTCTCAAATTAGATAGATGATGTCATAAAAGATTAAAGGTATTTGTCTTTAGGAGTCTGTGAAGCCCAATAGCTTTTTACAGCTTCAGACATATATATTTGCATTTCACATTGTAAGTACAAGCTTAATCTGAGCATGGTGAATAAATGCATATGTTGATTCAGCTGCAAAAAGCTGGAATTTAACACTAGTGTTTGCTATACTCAAATGGAAAATTGACCTGAGTAGTTCTGCATGCAGAGAAAAACTTTGTAGTTCCATAGAATGGGAAATTAACTGGCTAGACAGTAAGTCTGGGGAAGCAAAGATATGAGCTGGAAGCATTTAGACCTGGAGTGTTGCCCAGTTCAAAAAAGCAACAATCCAGCATTACTCAGGTCTATACATCCATAACTTTAACTTGTGACATGCTAATGAGCACAGCCACAATACAGACTTCACTTTGTCACGCACATTTCTGAAGCTTGTGGGGCAGTGATCATGACATTTTCTTCTACACACACTGTATATGCACAGAATTGTTTCTGGGTTTGTGTCCAATGCTCCCAATATACAGGAACAAGACACTCCAGTAGTTCAGCCACTCAGGAGTAATGGCCTTCCAATGTACAAACAATTCATTGAAACAGTGAGTTGCTTTCTTTTACTACCAGCACACTACAGGCACCCAACACATCTGACTTGGCTGGCTAAAACACAGGTTACCACCTCTCCCACACAGAACACTGAATTCTGAAATGGACAGCAAAATACTTCCTAGAAAGACCATAACAAGATGGTTATGTACAGAGACACACAAGCAGACACAAACTCAGAGCTGCTCTGGTAAACTGCATGGCTGCATCTACCTCACCTGAACTCCCGGAGTATCTTGCACTTGAATAGCCACCATCTCTCCATCTATCTGGATGTGCCTGCTGTAGAGATTACCTGACAAGAACACCAACAGGTTCACAAATACAGCCAGCGCTCTATAGATATCTTACTTCTGCTGCCCATTAGTTGGGTAGGGAAAGTTGTCTTGCTATTTATGACACAAGGAACCAGTGCTGCAAGCTTTTTGTAAGTAACAGCCCATAAATTTATGGCTTTACTAGAAGCCTGGGATTTGATCTTGCATTGACTTGTTTGGAAGCTTGGCATTTAATAATGTGCAACCTGGGACTTAAACACTTCTTAAAGACTGTCTTAGCTTAGATAAAGGTAAGTGTGCAAAATAACCAGCTTTTAATACAGAAAATCATTTTACTTCTTACTATTTCCATACTTCTCTGCTGGCTGGCCTGTAAGATTTGTTGGGGGGTGTGTATTTAGTTTTTTCAAGTAACTTCCTCAACAGAGGGGTGTATATTTTACATTCACATTAGTTTAGACTTCCCGCTGTACTACGCTCCAGCATTATGCCTATTAAGCTAGTACTGTCCAGATCATATAGCTGCTGGCATTCAGCTTGCCAAGAATAATGCAGTATTAGGTTTGGAGAATACTTTTGTATTTTAGCTAAAGGACTTCAAAGAGGGACATTTTCAGCATATGAAGTAAGGCCTGTCAGAGACCACAGTGAAACACAAAGCTAGTGAGGCTGTGATCACAGACAATGTATTTGCTGTGGTGGATACGCACCTTCCCATGGGCTGCCAGAGCTGCCCAGGGCACAGATTTTAAGTGAGCAGCCAGCCTTGTAACAGCTTGGGGGTTAGTCCGTGCACCTACAGCCCCAGTAGCTTTCAGCTCTTCCTTTCACACTTGGGACCTGGCTTAGGGCTAGGTTGTATACTTTAACTTCCAGGATGGAGCTCACTATGAGGGTGGTGAGGCATTGGCACAGGGTGCCCAGGCAAGCTGTGGCTGCCCCATCCCTGGCAGTGTTCAAGATCAGGGTGGACGGGGCTTGGAACAACCTGGTATAGTGGAAATTGTCCCTGCCCGTGTCACGG